CAGCGCAGAGCGGAATCGTCGGCCGGGCACCGGAGCTCACAGCGAACACCAGGGGTAGCACCACAAGATCATGAGCCACACCGCATATATCTCCATGATATATATTTCGACCACAGAAAGAAAAACCTTTACACAACATCGAGGACAAAACGAAAACCCCTTTAAAACAAAAAGAGCATGACTTTCAGAGGATGACACTAACAAGTGTATTATTGCCACGTGCTAAATGACGTTCTCTCCTCCTTAATATACCCTCACGAAACTCATCTATGCTAAGTGGCAAGATACTAACAAGGACACCGCTCACACTTTCACACACGAAGAGAACGACCTCTTCCAGCGTTTCAATGGATGCGAGAGGAGACACATCCGGAAGGCCCCTCCAGATTTTGACCTCGATCCTCACAAGGCTGCGACTCGCACAGATACCCCGCAACTCCCTATCTGTAATAACACTGCAACTCAAGTCAAGGTCACGCAGGACAGGCAGCCTGCCAAGCGCACCCACAACCCTCACTCCTTCGCACCCATCCAGATTCACCACTTCCAGTGTCTCAATGGATGCGAGAGGAGACACATCTTTGAGGTCACTGCAGTGTTGGAGAAATATATTCACAAGACTACGACTCACACTGATACCCTGCAACTCCCCGTCTGTAATGGCAATATATCCCAAGCTAAGCACACGCAGCACAGGCAGCCTGCCAAGCGCACCCACAATCTTCAAACCTTTACAAGAACACAGATACACCTCTTCCAGTGTCTCGATGGATGCGAGAGGAGACACATCTGTAAGGTGCTTGCAGTCTGCAAGAAAAATCCTCACAAGGCTGCGACTCGCACTGAGACCCTGCAACTCCCCGTCTGTAATAGCAGGGCACCCCAAGACAAGCTTACGCAGGACAGGCAGCCTGCCAAGGGCACCAACAACCCTCACTCCTTCGCACCCAGACAGATTCACCACTTCCAGTGTCTCGATGGATGCGAGAGGAGACACATCGGTGAGGTGCCTGCAGCTTTTGAGCACAATCTTCACAAGACTGCAACTCACACTGAGACCCTGCAACTCCCCGTCTGTAATATCAGTGGATTTCAAGTCAAGCTCACGCAGGACAGGCAGCCTGCCAAGGGCACCAACAACCCTCACTCCTTCGCACCCAGACAGATGTACCTCTTCCAGTGTCTCAATGGATGCGAGAGGAGACACATCGGTGAGGTGCCTGCAGTTTTCGAGCACAATCGTCGCAAGACTGCGACTCACACTGAGACCCTGCAACTCCTCGTCTGTAATATCAGTGGATTTCAAGGCAAGCTCACGCAGGACAGGCAGCCTACCAAGGGCACCAACAACCCTCACTCCTTCACACCCAGACAGATGTACCTCTTCCAGCGTTTCAATGGATGCGAGAGGAGACACATCTGTAAGGTGCCTGCAGTTTTCGAGCACAATCTTCACAATACTGCGACTCTCATTGAGACCCTGCAAACCCCCGTCTGTAATAGCAGTGCGACTCAAGTCAAGCTCACGCAGGACAGGCAGCCTGCCAAGGGCACCAACAACCCTCACTCCTTCACACCCAGACAGATTCACCACTTCCAGTGTCTCGATGGATGCGAGAGGAGACATATCTGTAAGGTGCCTACAGCTCCAGAGCACAATCTTCACAAGACTGTGACTCTTACTGAGGCCCATCAGTCCTTCATCGGTGACGCCGGTAGAGCTCAGATAAAGCACCCGAAGGAGTGGAAGTTGACCGATGCACTGACAGCTTGTAACCCCATCACAGCTTCGAAGAGAGAGTTCCTCCAAGTTTTGGAGGAGGCCCAGACAACGCACATCGCTATCATGTAAGTATGCGCTGCTAAATGATAGCTTTCTCAGTTCTGGTAGTTGACTGAGTAAGTTGATGTTCTTTATCTCACCATCAACTCCCAAGTGCAGCTCCTGTAGTTGCTTCACGCCAGCCAGAAGCCGCACGTCACAGACGCCACTGCAGCTGGAAATGTCTATTCGGGTAAGCGCTTTAGATGTGTGGAGAGCCTTGAGGTCGTCGTCTCCAAGCACCCTCCCAGCAATACGAAACTTGCAAATACCGCCCAGTTCCTCCGTGCGGAGGAATTTCATACTGCCAATGGCACAAGTTTTCAATTCGGTGTCACCTGAGCGTCGCCGTCTCTTCGGTTCCTCTTGTAATTGTGCCTTTTTATTCTCCAGCGCTGACACCTCTGCCGCCAATCTGTTACGCTCGTCGGCCAAATCTACGTTATCGGACTGAATGGTGGAGCCTCCGTCTGTCCATTGGGATTCGTCAGGCAGATGTCCCTGCGCAAGAGGAGGAGCGTCGCTCGAGAAGGCACTGTTCTGCCTGCTTGCGTCTGTATTCTCCATGGCTCTGTCAATGTAAATATGCGCTGTGTAGTCGTTATTTTCTTGGATCTACAAAGAGAGAAAGAAAGAGACGGAAAGGGAAGGAAACAAATTACAGGCATCCCTTATCTACAATGCGAACACACACGGCTATAGAACGGAGATGGAATCATACCGCTTTCCGCAGACTTAAGGAATGGCAAATGTTGGGTTCCCCCGCTCCACACGACTTCGCCCTGAGGAAGGGAAGTTGGCGGTGTGTCTGATGGCAAAAATAAAGAAACGAATTATTCTTTATTTCCGACCCTTCGAAAATGCCTGAAACGACACAAGAAGAAAACAAACAGACTCATGTGGAATATTGAAAAATAGATGGGCATCTCCTTACCTGATGGTCTCCTAAGAAGCTCTCTATTAAAACAAAAAAATGCCCATTGTTCTAAAGGACGCGAAAGCCAACTAAAATTAAATGCATTATTGGCTAGGCACATATTCCCGAAGCGGAGAGTATACGCGCACCTGTTAAGGTCAAGCACCTTTACAAACTAACCGCCTTAGAAAAGACTCTTTGCCTTTTCTGGTGATGCCGGCCACCTCGTCACACTTCCAGGGTTAAGTGAATCCCGTGTTGCCAAGGGAAGCCTGGCGCCAAGAAGGTTCTGCAAGTAGCGAACTTTGCGGCGCCGTGCTTACGGCATCGCATAGCGCCGGGGCAAGCCACATCATGCTTGGACGCAGTGTTAGCCCTGTCACCACTAGGGCGTGCATATCAACAGCAATGGTGGAGTAATTAATGATCATAAAAAATATAAGCACCCTGACGGACTGAACAAAGCAGCAGAAGAGCCGGTCAGAGATTCAACGAGTCCCCCAGGTGAGAAACACTGAACCTCCCGCTATCGAAACGCCGTTGCAATACTACAGGAAACCCCCGATAGAGCACCACCAAATCTTCCAAGACACTAACGGGACGACGCGCCCCTCACAGCAGAAGCCCTAATACAGGAAAAGGGAGGCGCCACTCACCAGCACAGGGGCAGCGGAAAAGCAAAGCAACGCACGACATCCTTGAAACGGCTTATTTTCGTAGAGCCAGGCGGGCCGCACCGCCGAAAACCCCGTGGTGCAAAAGGGGCGCCC